GCCGCGCACACTTCGGGCCCGGCCCGTGCGCATCTCCCGTCCCTCAGGGGCCTTTCCCTCCTCCTCCTCCTCCTTTCCGTGACCTTGGGCTGGAAATAGGCAAACAAGCGAGGAAGAGCTAACATCGCTCTCCGGCGAAGTAACCTTAAAGGGATCGCCTTACTAATTGTTTTCTCGGTGGAACGGAGTCAAATGACTCATTCATTGAAATAATCATAACAACGACAGCAGCCAAGAAAGGGCGGCAGAGACAGGGAAAAATGCCCCCTCGCCCCCCTCTGTCCCCACGCCCTTACGCCCACCTTTGCCCCGGCGTGCTTCACGTTCAAATCCGCAGCCCTGGATGCGAAGGGAGAGGGGAGCAGCCCTCCCGCCGTGCGGAGAGGGGGCCGGAGCCGCAGCCCTGGCCCCGCGGGACTGGCGTCTCCCGGCTCGTCTTGACCTGGGCTGCCTGATCCCATCCCGCCGGGGCGAGGGACAGCACAGTGCCGAGGCGACATGACTGATTGAGCGCTCAGAGGGGCCAGATAAGCCCTGATGAATCTCATTACGGGAGGGAGACGGGCTGTCCTGTTTGCAAACTTTGTTATTATTATTTCTCTCTCCCCCACTTCCCTGCTCTTTTGTGTCCTCCCTCCCCGCCCTGCCCTGCGGATCCCCCCCTCCACTCCTCCTCCTCCTCCTCCCCTCCTCGCCCTTCCCCATCCACACCCAGCGGCTAGAAGGGGACCTGGATGGCCGCGCTCCTCGGCTGCCCCGACACTCCTGTCCCAGCCTCCCCCAGCAGCGCCCGGCTCCTTCTCGGCACCTTCTCACTCACCCCTCTCCTCTCCCTGCCGTGAGATTTTCCAGCCCCACGTCTCTCCCGATAAAATTTAAAAAATAATAATTAAAGAAATTTAAAAACACGATTGATTTTTTTGCTCTCCATCACCTAGTTTCGCACTGTAACTTTTTAAAATTGAATTTGAAACTCATCTTTCTTGTTACCCTGAGATGTGGCTTCTCCTATCACTGCTACAACTGATTTTCTTCCCTCTGTCAGGATATTAAACACCAAGTGGGAGGATTAAAATAATTAAATCTACAGGGTGTCATAGACAGACTGGAGGAGCATTGTGTGTACAGCCCTACAGAAAGACAAAAATCCACCGGGTAATTTTCTGCAACACTGCACTGAAAGAGAAAATCATGGTATCTATAAAATATATGCACCTGGTGGGTAGTTTATGCTTAAAGTGAATGACGATCAAAACTGTGTGCATACGCATATTTACATAAATATGTATATATACATAATAAATATATGCCGAGCATGTATATATAAATACATATACATAGCCACACACACCTCTCTATAAACCTCTATTTATATATACATAGATTTATTCTAAAGCTGAAGAGATTGCAATAATCGTTAATCTTTCTACCTCTGACTAAATCATCGCAGCTCAAACTCCACTTCTACAATTGATTTAATGACACCAAGAATCTCCTTAACTAAAACAAAAAATAAGGATGGGGCATCTCGGAAATGAAATCAAAACCCTTCAGGAGGTGCTGTATTTTAGCAGCAGCTTATAAATTACGTTTCCTCATTCATATACGAGATTTTGCTTCCCTGCTTTTCTTTTTTAATGAAGCAACGAAATGTTTTATAGCTGAAATAATTCAAAATGGGTTAAGTGACCCCCTGCAATTTTGCTCTATGATACAAAGAACGATTAATTTGCAGTGAATTTGTCACCATTACTTGTCCAGATGACCGCACTTAAGGAAAGCAGGAATGTACTGATTTAGAAAAATTTAAAAATTAGGTTTACACCGGGCAATTCGTTTTGGGATCTTTGGGTTGGTAACCCCGATTGCCATATTCCAAACAACGCCGGAGGGGTATTTTTGGAGGAGCATTTTTGGAGGAGCATTTTTCCCCTAACTCAACACAAACGACGGGAGTTACCTCCAGTCCAGAACAGCCCCGGTC